AAATCCTGACTGATACATTTCATGAATGTTATTCCTATGTAAGTATGAGCATAGCTGCTGTGCTACAACCTTTTCTAGGACCTTGGAGATAAAGGGGAGGTTTGATATTGGTCTATAGTTAGACAGCTGACAGGGGTCAAGGTCAGGTTTTTTAATCAAGGGCTTGATAACTGATAATTTAAAAGATTTAGGTACATAGCCAATGCTAAGGAAAGAATTGATTATCTTTAAAAGAGGTTTGATTGTTTCAGGAATTATCTGTTTGAAGAAACAAGTAGGTAAAGGATCTAGCATACAGGTTGATGATTTTGATGATGAAATTAGCTAAATTAGTTCAGTCTCTTCAAGGGGAGTAAAACATTGTAATTGCTGATCTGATATTATTATATTATCATCTACAGGGTTAGTTATAAAACTGTCCGGTCTGAACTTTTTGCCTGATATTTTCAATTTTACCATTGAAAAAATTCATGAAGTCATCGCTGCTATATAATGATTGTGTGCGTGTTTCTATTGTGGTCTTATTCCTAGTTAATTTTGCTACAGTATTAAATAAGAATCTAGGATTATTTCTATTATCTTCAATTAGGGTGGAGAGATACACTGATCTAGCAGCACTAAAAGCTTTCCTATAGCTCAAAAGGCTCTCCTTCCATGCTATTTGAAATACTACCGATTTAGTTTGACGCCATTTACGTTCTAGTTTTCGAGTGGTCTGTTTTAAAGTTCGTGTGTGATCACTGTACCAGGGTGCTAGCTTTTTCTCCCTAATTATTTTTCTGTTAAGTGGAGCTACCTTATCTAGCGAGTTGCAGAATGTTCTAAGCATTCTAAGCATTCAGTTGCCTGGTCAAGTTCTTTGGGCTCAGACGGTGATCCAATCATGGTTGATAAATCTGGGAGATTACTGATAAAACTCAGTTGTTGTTGTGCAGTTGTTGACATGAAAGTACGTTTGACGCGGTAGTGTGGTGAGGTGCATATATTATGATTAAGACACATTTTAAATGAGATGAGGTAATGATCTGAGATAGCTTCAGACTGTGGAAATGAGACTATATTTTCTATATTTAATCCGAATGTTAGTATTAAATCAAGAGTGTGACCACCACTATGGGTGGGTCCTATTACATTCTGATTAACCCCTACTGAATCTAGAATGGACACAACTGCTGTTCTCAGAGGGTCTTCTGGATTATCAAAATGAATATTAAAGTCTCCAACAATTAATGCTTTGTCTAAAGAAACAACCAGGTTAGAGATGAAATCCGCAAATTCACATAGGAATTCCGAATATGGCCCTGGGGGTCTGTAAATAATAATTACTGGAATCACCTGGGTAGACTTATTTTTAG